TGATGACCCACCCTGTCGATGAGGGTGGGGAAACACTCCCCATCATTCCCATCGACAAATCGCACACCGTCATGCTGAGCCGCCGGGCGAGCACAGCAGCAAGGTCAGCGAGCTGCCACCATGAGCACAGGTGAAGGACTGCCGAGTAAGAAGATGATCGCAAGGTACACTTGGCATCAAGAATCCAGCATAAATTCTTACTTGGTGAACTTGCAGGAGTGGATCAATCTGCATGAGTTCGCCATCCTACATTTCCGACGACCAAGTCAATCGTATCATCAATTTTCTCTTCAAGAATTCTGGGCTCTCAGAGTAATGTACTTTATCTGAAAAGACAACTGAATAATAATATCTGTAAGATCATGACGAGTCCACATTCATTAAGGCACAATAACATCTCACTTGACTCCCTCCTCGTCATCTATTCTGTACGCTTCGTTACGTCGTTGCTTCACATCTTCAGAAAAAGTTTGATGATATTTGATTCTTTGAAAAATGCCAATTACTTGACTCTCACGAAGCTCTTGTTGAAGTATCTCCCCTCCTCTCCAAACTCTCCTCACTCAAGTCCTTTGCATGTTTGCACATTTGGTGAAATGCATGAACTTTGCTTTGCTTCCCTAATGGCGGAGCTGTTGACGTCCAATTAAGCCTCAGATCATATCAGGGATAAAGACTCGAGCTTGTAAGCTTGCATGCAAGAATCCATTGTGCGTTGCAATCAGACTGACATGAAAGTAGAATCAAGGTTGGAGATGATATCTGATTTGACATTTATTATTCATTCGAAGCATTTATCTCAGGATGTCGAACTACCAGCAAATTGACACGGACTCCCAGTCAATGATAATGACAACTACAATAGCATATGGTGCGCGCACAACAGAATGGAAGCACATGCTGTAGGTGCACTGCCATCCAACACCGTGCCGTTGGGTTTGCTGTCTTCAAGAGGTTTCAATCTTGTTTGTCACAAAGTGGCAAGGCTTTGAGCATGTGGACATGGATAAATACAAGACTATGCATCTTCATAAAGTGTTTTTAAGTCATGCAACAAGAGATGCATCATTCAAAGGCGGAGAAGTTCAAACATGATGTGAACAAGTCATGTGGCACAGTGAAGAATCTCTCATAAATATGAAATTCCATCCAGTACATGAAGATGAAGGTCTTCATGGAATAAAGGTCTTGGAATCTTGTAATACGCTTCAGCTGTAACCATGCAGAATCTAGTTCTCAACATCGCCAGGCTTTTGCTACCTGTTCACAACGATTAGCAAAAGAACAATCCACAGAAGAACTCCATACCTGTGTGATGGAACGAGTTCATTTGCACCTTCTCCTCTCACAAAATACTTTGGAGTCTCTTCATGCTCGTGTGTGTTCGTGGTATACTCGTCCCCTTCCATGGATGCGTTCCACAATCCAGACTTTGAAACAGATTATGCACAATAACATTTTCACCAACCGGCACAGCGGGTTTGACGAAGAGAAATATTGATGAGGCTCACCTGCTGCGAGTGACTGCAAATTGGGCACATGCTCGCACAAAACTCAAACACGGAAGACAAGGATCGGAAGAGAAGAGCTTCGCGACATGAGAGCAGAATGGTGAGGGGAGACGCGCTGGGGTAGTGGGTGAAGGCGTGTAGAATTAAAACATTTTAGAAAGTACCAAGAAACGATAAGCTAAACTTCCAAAATCACTTTTAATCACGGTTTTGAATATGGTTTGAATTTCAACAGTACAGAATTTCAACCTGCGCGAATCACACGCCGTGTACCCCCAGTTTCCCATGCACCACCCCCTTGAAGATATGGGACGAAAACCAACGCGGTTTGACCCCAGAATGACCCTAAACCTTAATCACTAGATTAACTTTGAACTTTGAACTTGAACTTGAACTTGAACTTAAACTTGAACTTAACCTCAAACTTCAACTCTGAGGCGAGCCCACAAAGACCACCCCATCCTCCCTTGTAACTTCAAATCAAACTAACCGTTACAATACGGGTTGCCTTCACAACCGAGATCATGGTAAAGATTTGTTTACAGTCCACATTCGTAACCTCAGCGGTAACAAGGATTTCCTGCTTCGTACTCGCTTTTGTGATGTGTTTGATCTTTGTTAAATTACGATCGAACTTTTTGTTAGTTCAAAGGTTGAATTTCAACTTTTATCTGTTCGAGTACAACAGAGTGAACATTTCTCGATCTGCTCTTACGTCCAATGGAAGTAGTTTGGATGACTTAGACATGGTGGTCAGTGGGATGCCAGGTGATTTCATCATGTACGCGTTTGGTAATGCAGATCATCTCCCTTTCATCTTGCATTGGCTCTGTAACACTGCACACATGCCAGACGTACACCGACGCACTCTGCTGGCCGTGACCACAACTGAGATGCAAAACTCAATCCGAAACCATGCTTTGGATGTCAAAGTGTTTGTTGTCCAGGAGAGAGCAGTCTCACATGGATTTTACAGTCTGGGTTACAGGAAATTGACAATTCTACGAGTGCATTATCTGATTCGAATTCTCAAAAATCGCAATGTGTTAATGTTTGAGACAGATTGTGTTTGGACTCGTAGTGTCATTCCTGTTATTTCTGAGTCAATGATGCATTGTGACCTTTTGCTATATCGTGATGGTGAACCAGCTTTGGAGCCAGCAGTAGGGGCTGGATTCATGTACATCAAATCTTCTTCACCTGGTTCACGAATGTGGGAAGAGGTGTATGCTAGAATGATACGCGAAATCAGTCAGTATACGACTCAACGTGATACTGTTACAATTGGACCCCATCAGGTTTTGCACGAACAAGAAGTATTTCATGAGTTCTTGAAGCGAGACAAAACAGTGAAATTTGTGAACTTGGACAGGTGCTTGTTTGCTTCTGGATTGTGGTACAACAAAAATTCAAAATATTTCGAATCATGTAGGGGTAAATTACCTGTGATACTGAACAACAATTTTCTCGTAGGCACGCAACCCAAAGTGAATCGAGCAAGGCAATGGGGACATTGGTTTCTGGAGGATGATATGATTACTTGCAAACCTTGGAATAAAACTCTTACCGGTGTTTTGGCGACGTTCAGAGATGCAGGTAGAAGACCATGAGCAAGCAGACCTTCAATTGTCGAGATGGACTACCCCAAGCAACTTTTTCTTCCATCAAAGCAGCAAAGTTACGTAACAACTGCTTCAGGTTCCTCGAAGAATTTGACAGTGGAATATTCATGAGCTTGTGAATTGGTAACGAAGTCCTTCAGGACGTCATTTTCCTCCAGATCCTCTCAAGCAATGTCCCGAAAATATTTCCGCTTTGTAAGTACAAGATGAGGCACGCATAACCTTCCATTTTGTTTCGTTAGAGATTTCCCCTACACGTGCTTTTCGGTGTGCGGTGTGAGTCTCAGGTCCTGTATACCAAATCGCTCCCACTGTGCGACCCGGAAACATTGATACTGCGTCATCCTGCGCTGTTTGTTCGAAGGCATATACTACTTGACGAATTTCTGAATGAAGGGTCTTCGCTGGCAGCCACAAGTGCTCTGGGGACACACTCATATCTTTTTATTTCACATCATTCTGCTTGCAATTCTCGCTTCGCTCAAATTTCACAGTCTCAGATGTTTGTCTCATGAGGATTTCTGTCAATTCTCAAAAACTTTCTCACCATTGTGATGTGAAAAATTTTCTGGCACCATAACAGTGAGGGAATTATCTGAGAGATTGTTAGAGTTCGCATGAGACAAAAATGTTGAAATGGATGAATTTTGTTGCGACTTCTTCTTTCCTACATTGCACAATAACATCTCTTTGTGACACATAGCTCAGGTGTTCATTTGTTGTTTCATTAGTTGCTCGATGAATGGGTGGCCCTTAAAAAGACTCCACTACCAACTTGCCATACTTGCCGCCGCAGTCATGCTAGCAGCTTCATATCACTCTGAGGCGGGTCCGAATGCTAAACGACAGTGTTGGGTTGAGGCGGTCGGCGAGAGAGAGTTTGCTACACAACCCGGCCACCTCCTCGAGTTCCCCAGAGATGGCTGGCCACTTTTCCAAGTTTGGACGCTTGTAAGTTTGGACGCTTGTAAGTCTTGGTCAGGGTGTCGAGCCTTAGTCAATCTTTCTTCCAAGTCTGCCAGACGGCTGGTCTGAAGGATCCTGCAGCCATCTGTCTGATCTGACTGTGTCAACACACTTTTTTACAAGTCCAAAGTCGTCGAGTGGAGACGAAGTGCCCATGTTTGGACGCTTGTAAGTCAGCGTAAAGGTGTCGAGCCTTGGTCAATCTTTCTCCCAAGTCTGTCAGACAGCTAGTCTGCAGGATCTTGCAGCGAATTGTCTGATCCGACCTCTTCAACACCACCTTATGTTACGCCAAAGCCGTCGGGTTCCAACAAAGTGCCGACTCCAACCTTAGCCGATTTCGACATGGAGGTGTGGGGGGGTATTTCTCAAGTTTTTCTAAAGGTGTGTGAAGGATTCAGGGCGGTTTGAAGCCTGGCAGAGGCGTACGAGGAGAAGGAAAAAAAGTTATACAGCTCAAGTCGAAGTAACCCTGGTATCTTACAGACAAGAGTTTTTTCCAAGTTTGGACGCTTGTAAGTCACTGAGTCTTGGTCAGGGTGTCGAGCCTTAGTCAATCTTTCTTCCAAGTCTGCCAGACGGCTGGTCTGAAGGATCCTGCAGCCATCTGGCCTCTCCAAGCCTCCCGAAAACGCCTAAGTCCCCGGACCCCTTTCCGAGGCCGTGCTGACCTTGAAAAGCACGATTTTCTACCGGGTACGGGGACTGAGGCGGCACATCAAGATTAACCCCTAGGGAGTCCGCGCGCGCAAGGTTTGCTAGAAAGGTGTCGAGAAAAAGCATAGAAGACATCTGAATTTCCCTCAGTGAAAGCATCTGCCGATCAAAGAGAAAGTGGAGCGAGCTGTGAGGGGCTCGAAGCTAGAAAAAACAAGATCTTTTTGCAACAACCTGAGTAAACGAATTTATTTTCAAATAAGAAAGCACATTGAGCAATCAAATGCCGAGACGGCCTCTTACTGGTATTACACCTTGATGACATTGTAAGCAAGGAATGAAAGTGTACTTCCAAACAACAGGTATGTTGTCAGTTCAGCGTACATGACTGGAAGAATTCTCGAAGACATACGAGATTCTCCATATAGAAATCCAAACATAATAACCTTAAATACAGCTATCACTCATTTGAGTTGCCAAATTGATAAAAACCTTACTTGTAATGTTCCAGCGAAGGAGATCCATGTTAACGTGGGTTCAATCAAGAAATGCTCGAGAAGAATTAAACAAAACTTGTTAACCTGATATACAAAGAAAAATAGCTCAGAAAATTTACAACAGTAAATCAAAATACATGATTTAGAACCATTAGCGAAGTTGCTGTCATATACTGGTTCATCGCTACTGCAGTGATGCTGAGAATTGTTCCACACACAGCTGATGCCACTAAAATTCCGAGAGCGGATGATGACAATGAAGCGTCTCTCAAGTCTAGAGAAGTAGTTGGTAAGTGATTTCAGCTTTGAGAAGATATCACCTTCTTTGTTTATGATTGTCTGCAACATGAACAGTGGGACAGACAACACATTGTTATACAGTGTCATTCCCAGGGTATTCAACAATTTTTGTGAGGCAATGTTCTTCATCATTACCTGATACCTAAATAGACAGTCAAACTCGCAAATGTAAAGACAGTCAAACTCGCAAATGTAAAGAAACATACTTACCAAGATATAGCAATCACGTTCATAGTTAACCATACATATCCTGAAATGGAGAAGCTCAAATCAGCCAAACCATACACCAGGGCCCCTAGACAGATTCCAAGAAGACATAATACTGCTGCAAGATCAAATTGAGTATGCATGATATGATATTCAATGAACTGTTTCTCTGTCAGATTGCTCTGATTTGGAACATTTAATTACCGCAGTGAGTATGATCGAGGAGTGGCGGAGGACAGTCAGGGTCGACGATGTAACGAACTGAAGAGCTTGCAGGCTGGTCAGAAGAGTGGCAGCAAATGCTGCGGTTATAGGAAGCCATAACTTGACCTTCTTCCACTGATCGATGTCATCAATACTCAAATACAATCAATGCATAACCTGTAAACGGTCTGCAGGTTCCATGTTGACATGGCAGAATTGGGAAATGAATCCAATAGAGAGAATAGTGCTCGAGCATTGTATAAGGAGAATACAATGTGAAAATGGAAAAGTCCGAATTGCGAATCGGTTTAAAAGAGTCAATGCACTCCCTGATATACAATATGCAATTGATACTATCAACGCATGGAATGTCATAGGATGAATTAAGTAGGGGGCTTATTTTGGCGCCACAACCTTAGACCTTAGGATTAGCTCCTGGTACAAATGTTTTAGTCAAAACGAGGGCTAATCCCCTGTTAAGGTCGCCCAGGGGATTAGCAAGGTGCTGACTGGCGTGACATGCCCCGCCCACAAACTCGTCGCGGGCATATCTCGAATCATTGTTGATTTGAAAGCTATTGAGTGATATGATCGCATAACCCTGTTCCACTACCCCAGGGGTATGGTACCAAATAGACACCCCCCCGGGGTCAGATTTTTTCAAAGGCGCGCAAGTGAAGGTCACGTTACCGCATCACGTTACACACGGCCGTGACTTTGGAACCGTGACCCTGGTATCGTGACTTTGGTATCGTGACTTTTGGTATCATGACCTTGGTATCGTGACTTTCGGTATCATGACCTTGGTATCGTGACTTTCGGTATCATGACCTTGGTATCGTGACTTTGGTCTACGGTATCGTGACTTTTGGTCTTAGCACCAAGCGCACGTGCTGGCCCTTCAAAAAAAAGACTTAGCACCAAGCACGTGCTGGCCCTTCAAAAAGTTCCTTCAAAAAAAGACTTTGCACCAAGCGCACATGATGACACTTCAAAAAAAAACTTAGCACCAAGCGCACGTGCTGATCCCCTAAAAAAAGATGACACTTCAAAAAAAACTTAGCACCAAGCGCACGTTCTGATCCCCTAAAAAAAACTTAGCACCAAGCGCACGTGCTGGCCCTTTAAAAAGGTCGCTTCAAAAAAAAGACTTAGCACCAAGCACACATGATGACACTCCTAAAAAAAACTTAGCACCAAGCGCACGTGCTGGCGCTTTAAAAAGGTCGCTTCAAAAAAAAGGGGCCCTGCGGGCCCGCCTCAGCCGAGGGGTCGCGGGGAGGTATAAAATGATATGGGAGAGAACCGGGAAGAAAAAACTTGCAACGTATTTATACGTATAGGATTTTTTTCGAGGTCGAAACTCAACTGGAAATTGAGTTGAGAATCCAGGGTTTTTCTACCTATAAACCAGTTCATGTACTAATTGATCGGAAATCCCGACGTGAGATTTTACTAAGGCGGGCCCTGTGGGCCCGTCTCAGTATATATGTGAGTCGGATGATACGAGGAGCCTTCAGATCAGTCTAGATGGAGGCCAATGAGCCTTTCCATGCCCTCAGATGGAAGGTGGGAGGGGATCTGGGGGAGGGGATCTGGGGGTATGTTTGCGGTGGGGCTCCCAACGTGAGTTTTCTCCATTTTTTTTTCTAAGGCGGGCCCTGCGGGCCCGCCTCAGTATATATATGAGTCGGATGACACAAGGAGGTATCAGATCAGTCTAGATGGAGGCCCATAGCGTTGCTTTTCCGGCCGGGCGCTCATAGGAAAAATTGGCAAGATTTTTTTTTTTCGAAGGGCCTGTGGGGTCCCTTCATTTCATGCCATGTGGGAGTACCCTACTTTGAGAAGGCGTGTAGGAGGGTACTCGCTCTTAGGAAAATCGTTGCTGCGCAGGGCCAAAGAGGGGTAGGGTGATTTGAATTTGGTTGCTTGGACACCTCACCACGCCAAACCAAAGTAAAAGTACGAATTTTAGAAGTATCTGTGGTACCAACTTAATATTGCAGCGTTTATATGGTACAAAACGAGGGCCAAACTGGTCGGAACTTCGACTTCCGAGAACCCCTCCGTTTGACTTTCGTTGGGGGGTGGGGTGGGTATGGAGCACCCTCAACTACCCACCTTTGATCCAGTTTGAAACTCTGTGATAGGGGGTGGGGGGTAGCCCCCATTTCTCATTCCCCAAGCCCCCTCTCCCTGGACGAGCAAGAGGCGATGAAATGGTGCCTTCCTGACTCGCGAGGATGAACCTTGATATTGAGAGACTTCGAATCTAACCCAACTGAGATAGAAATGAGATGAAGATCTCATATCATACCTGTAAGAGATGATCGAGCTTCTTTCTCAACTCTGCAGGTTGGGCCAAGGTTTGAATCATCCATCATGTACTGGAATATGCACCCTAGGTACAAACAATCCACGTGTGTACTTGAAAATATTCTTCGAAGACAAGATGAAATTTTCATGAACAGCTAAGCAACTAATGATAGATTCACCATTGAACAGAATCAACTCTGATTGACCCTTCTTTCAAATGGCCGTAGGTTGAACGTTGAGCTCAAATGCATGATTTGTGAGAAATTTGTATCAAACTGTACCTTAAGCGACTTTGCTGTCTAGATATGTGTTCTCATGTCATCACTCACTTTCAATTCTTCTAGTCTTACGGTCAGGATTCATGCACCTCACTTTTCTATAGAGAAAGCTTTACATGCTCAACCGTTCAATGATGCATGAAGAGACGTTTGCACAAAGGATTTCTTTACCTGCCAGGATAGATGACTTTGAATCATCGTTGTTGATCATGAATCACTATACCCATGATCAAGTGCATTGACAATTGCATTTCCATGTTTCATGACGTTTGATGATTTTTCTGCACTGCAACTAAGTTCTTCCTCTGTCATGACATTTCCACAACGCTGCAGAAACCTAGTTAGAAATGAAACAATGTGCAGATGAATCTGATATCAATAAATGAGATGTTCTTCGAATCAATCCTGCCTTGTTTGGACAGTTCGCAATGCTACCATGCAACAGTAGAGTTCTTGTTGCATTTGGCTCTCCGGGGGGTGCCTTGTTCAACAGAGCAAGCACTCGATGATTGTAAACGAACCACAAACACTGTGAATCAATAAACAGAATTCCACATTCAGGTGATCATATCTTTATTACAAGCGTTTCAATCTGGGTAAAAGCACAACCGACCTCCTTGTAATCCTGACGACGTTCCATCTTTTGCCTGGCGAAGTTATTTCTGTGTTAACCAAGAAGCATGTGACATGTAGCCACATCATAAATGCTGTACGGCCTGGAATATCAGCATCTTCAAAGTGCTCGTGTTTGCTGTGACCGTATCATCTGCTTGGGGGGGCTCATTGATGGACACACGATCTGATGCAAGTTCACACCAGTAATATTTAGATGATGCATCATGTGATCAAATGGCATAGACCTTGGTGATTTGCAACATGTTTCATCGTTCCAACACATCCTTGAAAACCGGATGAAGAATCCTTCACGAACCACTGGACTTGCTTGTTATCATTCGATAGTGCTGTGGATCATCGTGGTTTCAAGCAATCGAGCAGCTCACTGCTAAAATGCACTGTATTTCTTGCGAGCAAATCAGCCATCATCGTGAAGACATGTGTTCTTGAGCTCACTGGTGACTGTACGGCTTTTGAAGAATCCAGTCACCGTCGGATGATGATTCCCTGTCGTCTTGTGTGTAATCTCCATCCATCTACTCCAACTCAGTTTCCCTGTCATGCATCGCAGATAGCTTAGGGTATTTCACAACCCGGTTTCGATTGCAACGTATCCCTGTGATGGTGATTTTCACTTGTATTATTGATGCTCTTCGCTCACCAAACGATTTTTCGTGAGATCCACGCACTGTACGAAGCACTCCTCAAGGATCATCATCTCTACACCTCAGGAATTTCCCATGAGGAGGTTCGGTGAACATCTGATGTCTGCACACGCTGCCGCGGGCTCGCTGTTTGCGAGCCATGGTTAGGGCAGTACAGAGCGGTGCGACGTGCCCCGAACAAGGGGAGGCTCATGGCGTGTAGAGAGGTCGTTCAAACTTGTTTATAAAATTGTACCATAAGAAGGCTCTACAAATTAGTTAGTAGACTACCCCATGATCTCAGTGCAACTTCTGGGGTGCAGCCCTACTTCTCTGTTTATACTCAACCATC